TGTCGTGTGCCGTGCGTGTGCCGTGTATTCCAGGGGAAGGCCCGCAGGACGTACGAAGGGAAGAGGTGGTCGTGGAGGAGCGTGGCGTAGGTCTGCAGCGGCGACACAATGCGGATGGCGTTCTGGTTCATTTCGAGGAGCCCCAGCAGATGCGAATAAAAGTCAGGCGTGAACAGCTCCGCCAGCGGCCCCTTGCCCTGGCCTGGTGTCGTCAGCGTAGTGTGAGTGGTGGCCGCGTCGCCATCGCCATCGCAGGACGCCACCGTGGCAGTGGCGGTACCTTCGGTGAAGAACGGCGAGGGAGGGAGGAAGAGGGCCATCGCTAGCGAGGTGTAGGACTCGTCGAGCAGTTGCTGCAGCATCTCCTGCGAGAACTCATCGTCGTCTTCGTCTTCGTCGTCGCCATCATCGCCGTGGTCGTGCGCGGCTGCCTTGCGCGACTGTCGGGCGGCGGTGATGACCTCGAGCCAGGGGCGGTGGCAAAACGAGTCCATGAAGCGCTGCGCGTACCCCAGATCCAACCCGCCGGCGGTCTCGGAGGCGCCTGCATGGAAACATGAGCGCCACGCGTTGGGTCACTTGATGTGAAGCGGAAGCAAAGATCGAGACGTCGTGCGAGCGTGGTGTGTACGGATGGTGTTGAAGACCCGGACGACGACGTGGGCGGCCAGGAGGAAGAGCTCGTTGTGCTCGACAGCGTGCTTCTTGAACACGACGAGCGGGTGCAGCTCGGAATCCACGCGACCCACGCACAGGGCTTCGTGGTGCTCGGCGTAGGCCGCATCCCTGCAGCGCTCGCTGCAGTACATCTCTCCGCAGGCGTGCCAACACTCCACAACGTCAGTCCGCAAGAGCACGCCTTCTGGCAGCGGCGTGACTTCGTCGTCGTCCTCGTCCACTCTGCAAAAATGATTGATCAATCGTTGGCCATCAATCGCAAATCACCACCCGAGAGGCGGTCGGAATGGCTGCCGAGTACCCGAGAATCGCCTCCGTTTGCTTTTGATGCCAATTAAATTGGGCCTCGAGCGACTGGAGGAAGGTGAAGCAGTGGCTGCACGTCCAGGCGCGGTGCCGGTTCGACACGTCTTGCACAGCGACAAAGGGCAGCTCCTTCATCACGGCTGCTCCGGCGGAGAAGCATCGAAGAGAGAAGGCACCTCGTCCCTTGTCCTCATCTTGTGATGCAGCCGAGGGATCGATAAGACGAACCTCCACCTCCTCTGGCAGGCCGCTCGCCACAACGGGAAGCAAAGATGAGCCGGAGGCGTCAGTTGTGGCCATCTTTCCGATCTCTGTTTCTTTTCTTTTGCATGTTTTCTTTCCGTTCCCGCCCAATTGCTGCCCTCCATCTTCCTGGCGTGGTGGAAGCAATTTAATCTCTTTACATCTGCAACACCATTCCAAAGCACCTGGCGGGCCTGCTCGGTGCGTGCTGGCTTAGGAGCGCATCCGAACGACGCTGTCGGTCTCCTCGCCCTGGGGTGCAGAGAGATGTGAGTTTGCCGTAGCAGTGAACACCGGGGAGAAGTGTGGCGTACCTCAGGAGGGATGTAGGCCTTCCACTTCTCAAGCCTCTTCATGTACTCCTAATAGATGAAATAATTGGGTTTTTAGAGGGGGGCGCGAAAAGAAGAATTCACTGCCAGGGCCGAGCGATTTACCTCAGCCAGGGGGCGGCACTTCTTACGATAGTTCACACCCTCCCTGTAGTAGCACTGCGAGAGCTGGGTCTGCAGTTCGGCCATTTCCTCGGTCGCGACGATGTGCTCCACCACGCGCTGCCTGATCGCCTTCTGGTAGGCCACGGGGTCCTCCGTGTCGAAGTCAGTATCGTTAAAATCGGGAACAGCTCGTCCGCTCGACATCTTCCTTCCTTCTCCTCTCAATGAAAACAACAATGTTTGATAAATCAAAACATAATTCATTTCTCTTTGTCTCCAAGAAATCACACGGAAAATGCAGCTGCCGCCTGCTTCCTGGCCTGGGCCAGGGCGCACGCGATGGGCTCCTCCATCTCCCTGCGCTTGAAGCAGCGCGCCCAGTCGGTGAGGGTCTCGCCTTCCTTGTCCAGAATGTCGCATCGGGCGCCGTACGCGATCAGCAACCAGAAGAGATCGTGGCTGCCTGCACGCGCGCGCGTGGTGATGGAGACGATGATGAGGCGAAGGAGGAAGAGCGAAGGAAAGAGGGGAGATATGGACCTCGGGCGACGGCATTGTGGATGGGGGTGACCTTCGCCCTGTCGCAAGCGTTGGGCGATGCTCCGTGCTTGAGGAGGAAGGCGGCGGTGGCGGTCTTCCCGGCATAGACGGCCAAGTGGAGCGGCGTCGTGCCAAAGTTGTTGGCGGCGTTGCTCATCTTCTTGTCGAATTCGATGAGAGCCTGCACGACGCCACTATAGCAGCCGACGCTGTGGTGAGCTCGTTGTGGATAGCGGGATAAGGCAGAGGAGAAGGTACGTATGTCCATTGACGGCGGCAATGTGGATTGCCCTGTTGGCGTCCGTGGCTTTCTCGTCCGCCTTCACCATGACGGGGATCAACTGGCGGATGATATGCGCGTGGCCAGCCTCGGCAGCCCTGAAGCGAGGAGAGGTGTCACGATGAGATCGAACACTCGCAACGGACTCTTTCACGGGAGCTGACGCCAAAGAGCAGCTGTACCGTGATAGCAGTTCGCATTGAACCTGTTCGTCCGGCCATAGCTTACGCTGGTGAAGCACGGT